TATGCGTCAACGCCGAAGCCTCCAACGTGGCCGACCTCATTTCGGGCCGCGTTGCTGCCGCGCTTCACGTTCGTTTTCCAGGCTGTGGCACTTCGCGTTCGCCGCGACGATCGCCGCGAGAATCCCAGTATCCCTCCCCCCCTTTCTTTCTCCTCGGCCTCCTCCTTCCCGCCCCCCCCTCTCTCTCCCCTGGCGCTCGGGGCGCGTGCGAACGCATGACCTGCGCGCGCGGCCTCGCGAAGTCCCCGAGATTGCACCGGCGCAGTCCGAGCGGGGCCCCAGATTATAGCTGGGCGCGGTCGTGCACAAAGTGGCTGCGCGAGCGAATGGAGGTGTCAATCGCCCATCGCGACATCCGTCTTCAACCCGCAAGCCCGGCAGCAAACAGAGGGGGCGCGTCGGCTTCGGCGGGTGCCAGCAGCGCCAGGGCGGCCAATTACACCCCGAGGCTTCGCCGGCGCACCCTGAGGAGCTCTGCCGCGCCATCGAGAAAGCCCGCGCGATTTTCTGGCGAGCGTTGGAAACAAGACGGCGTCTACACAAACAGGCGCGACCACTGCCACTCGCAACCCCAAGCGAGCCCACCGCGGCAGCATTGTTTCAGGCCTGATCAAGCAACGCCAAAACATCCATACTGCTGACGCCGCCCCCTCGGAGATCAATCCGCAAAAACATCCGACGCCACTTTCGGCGGCAGAAGCGCGCCGAGCAGAGAGACCGAATCAATGCCATGCTGGAGCAGCATAAGGGTCTGAAACACATGCGCTCCACGAAGACTGGGCGGGAGAAGACGCCGATGCTCGAGATGACTGGGGTCGATGGCACCAAGCAGACAACGCGACAGGGCATCGCAGACGCGTTTGCGGGCTTCTACAGTCAACTGCACGCTTCTGATGCTCGCTGCGCATCGACAACCGCGGGCTCAGAGCAACGGCGAATCGCACCTGTCACGACAGAGGACTTGAGAATGGCCGCGTCACAGCTCAAGGGCGGCAAGGCCCCTGACACCACAGGGACCAGGTCTGAAATGCACCGACAGCCAGGCCCTGAGCGTGAGAACGCGCTGTTGCAACTGCACAGCGCGACCACGCAGCCGAACGTTCCGACGCCAGCGTATTGTGAGAAAACTGACCCCCGAAGCGGGTGATTTGACGAACCCTCAGAATTGCCGCCCGGTCTGCGCGATGCCGACGCTGCGCGAGCTCTTCGGCCGCCTCTTATACACCAGGCTTTCGCCCGCGCTGGGTCGACATCAACCAGGCGACCAGGCCGGCTTCGACCCGAACGGGGCACGCGAGAGTTTTTCTTCATTTTCAACATCTTTCGAGAGCGGGCAGCGGAATGGAATCAACCATTATGGTTCGCAGCGGTGGATTCCAAAAAGGCGCTCGACACTGTGGAGCACGACAGTTTGTGAAAAGCGTGACTTCATCAAGCCATTGTTCTTGAATGGGCGAACCTTCTCAACGTCTGCATCGCGGCCAGGCAGCTGCGGCCCTCGCCGACGCCGTCAGCAAGTCTTCCAGCCTCAGCCGCTGCACAAAAGTGAACCCTTGAGATCGCTATTGTTCAACGCGTTGTTGCAGGATGTGCCGGCGCCGGACTTCCAGGACTGGCAGCGCCGCAACCAGGGCATCACATTCGGCGCTGCAGACATATCACTACTCATGAACCTCAGGCTCGCCGACGACATCTTGTTGGCCATCCAATCATTGCCCAACTTGACGACCATGCTTTCCGACTTGGTCGCCTCAGCCACGCCGCGCGGTCTGGAACTGCATCCAACCGAAACCAGAGTCCTGACCAACCATCCCCGACACCGCGCACGAATGGTCAGGGCACCAGACATGGATTTCGAAGTGCTGCTATGCACCGGCACCATCCAATACCTTGGACAGGTCTTCACATGTCACGACGCCACTACGACAGAACTCAAACGCCGCATCCAGGTAGCGCGTGCATGCTTCAAGTTGCTATAGAGAGGAGTTCACCAGCAAACGTTATCCTCTGGGCAACCAGCTACGACTATACAAAGCAACCGTAGTACCTGCAATGACGCATGGTGCGGAAACGTGGACTCTGATAGGGCCCCTGAAACAACAGCTTCGCAGAACACAGCGAAGAATGGTCTTGGACCGCCACGTCGGCGAACTACAGCTTCACCTTCATCACGCCCCAACCCAGTGACGAGCCAAAGATATGGGCACGACGCCAGCGACACTGCGACGACACCAGCGAATCAGACGTATGCAACAACCCACCTACCGACCACGACGATGTTCAGGACGACAACGCTTAGGAAACGACGGCACAGCCAGACACCAGGCAGAATACGATATTGAGCCATGGTCCAGCTACATTTCAAAGGGACAACGACTTGCCCGACGTGCTGCTCATACAACGACGGATGGTTTGGCGATGGGCAATCTCTGTGGCGAACCATCCCAGTACGCGCTGGACACAGAGAGCATTGGGATGGGATCCGAGCGCCAACGCCAAGCAACAAGGGAGGCGACGACATCGAGCTCAACACAAATAGTGGGAGGATGACATCCGGAAGTTCCTGCATACTTTGAACGGGAATATTTGCGTCGACGGCGATGAACAGGGAGACGTGCTGGCAGCAGTTGTCATCCGATTACACGAGCACAGAAGCACCAACGATTTGCGATGGACCCACGCTGCCGCACATACTGGATGGTGGAGAAGACGTGAAGCCACCTTTGTTTCACAGCACTGACTTGTTATTTTCCCTATCCGGGCTACGGCCTTTACCGCCACGCCCTAGCGGGCGCGCGCGGGCGCCCACGCGGCGCCCGCGCGGATTTGGTTTGCCCCGCTTCTGGCTGCACGAAGTCATTGGAGCACCAACTTGATTAAACTATCTCCCATACGTCAATTTTTCCTTCAATTCGACCCCATCCACGTATACCTTGGCCTCGCGCCGGCGTGCCACAGATTTCGCGTCAAGCTCCCCCATCCCTCGTCATCCGGTCTCCCTTCTCTTTCTCTGTGTTTCTCTCTCTCTATCCCTTTCTCTCTCTCCTTTTTGTTTTTCTTTGTCCTCCTCTTCCCGTTCCAGATCCACCTCCCTCTTCTTGCTCTGCTTTTCTCGCCCTTGATTCCGTCGCCACCACGGTTCCCGTAGTGCTTTTGGCACCCGTGCGTGCTCTCACCTTCCCGAACGTCAAACCGCCAGACAGTGGCCCAGATGCCCCCAAACGCGCCCACTGCTTCCGAATGAAGTACCCGATATGTCGATGGCAGTCTAACAAGAGCCCAAGGCAGCCCATGAGGCTTCCATGGCTACCTCGGAGTCATGCAAGACCGTTCGGCCGAACATGTGTTACTGCCGCAAGCTCCGCCGATACTTACTGTGGTTTTACTGCAACCTTTGTGGTGCAATCGACGTGGTGTTATCTAGATGATGCAATCCACGTGGTGCAATCCATGTGGCGCAAAGCAATGCAAACACACAAAAAAAAAAAACGAACGTGAGCCTTCCTTTCGCCTCTGACGCCTCCTGGGGCCTCAGGGGCTCTCCTGGGACCTCCCGGGCTCCCTGTGCTTTCCTGGAGTCCTCTGGGCGCCTCTCCTCCACCTCGTCCGCCTCTCCTCCTGCAGTCTCCTCCTTCTCTCCTGGGCGCAGGGGAGAGGAGCGCGGGGAGGAACCGGGAGGGCAGGGGCCCAGGGAGCAGGAGGGGGAGGGCGCAGAGGACCACAAGGAGACGAAAGACTAAGACTACGAAGACCCTCTCCCTCCACCTACTTTTGTCCATGGCGCGCCTGGGGGGACATGAAAAGGAGAAAGCCTTCCCAGAAGGCGCGGTGCTTCTCGGATGCCATCGCGCTTTCTAAGAAGTTGTATGTGTCTTCGGAGCAGGATTTTACAGTTTCTCAGACGGTCCGAGGCTTTCAGAGCCTTCCAAGAAGGCCCGTTCCTTCTCACTCTCCCTCCAGGTTCGCCGCCGATTCTTATCCGCCCTTCTCCTCCTCAACCCTCCTTTCCCTCTTTGCACCTCTGTTCCCCTATCCAGGAATCTCCAGAGACCTCCAGCCAGCCTGCGGAAATCTTCGAATGCCTCTCAGCGCATCCGAGCACTTGGATGTACCACCGAGCGCGTCCCAAACACGGACGACGATCGGCGACGACGGCGACATCTCCCGAGGCTCCAACGACACTGGCAACCACGGCATCGGTGAGGGCGACGATGCCAGCATCAGCTATTTGGACGGCCTCGACGACGACATCGCCTTCGGCGACGACGGCTTCGTCGACGACGACAACGACAACGACGACGGCGACGGCTTACGGCTTACGGTATCGGCGACGACGGCGACGACGTTGACGTCGACGGCGACGACGCCGACGACGACGACGACGATGCCGACGATTGCGCCCACGACCAGCGGCAACCGAGCCCCCGAGGCCGACGGCACGCCGTTGGCGGGCGCCGCGCGCACGGCGCTGGTGGACTGGTGCAGTGACGCGGCCGGCCAGGGCGGCACCGTGCGGGTCGGCCTCTTCTCGGTCCCCGCCGCCGTCGGGCTGGCGTCACCGCCGCCGTCGCCGTCGTCGTCGTCGCTGCCGCCGGCGCCGCCGCCGTCGCCGCTGCCGCCGCCTCCGCCGCTGTCGCCGCTGCCGCCGCTGCCGCCGTTGCCGCCGTCGCCTGCGCCGGCAGCGTTGTCGTCGCCGTCGTCGCCGCTGCCGTCGCCGACGAAGCCGCCGTCGGCGGTTTTCGGCGCTTCTCCGAGATCCCCTGAGGTCTTCAAGGTTTTCGGAGGCTTCGCTTCCCCTCGTTATTCCTCTTTCTCCTCCGCCTCTTCCTCCTTTCCCTCCACAGCGTTCCCCCTCCTTCAGCCCTCTATGCCCTCCTCTCTGCCCTACCGTCACTCATTCCGCCGCGTTCTCCGAGGCCTTCCTCCATCTGTCCCTCCTCCTCCCGGATTGTCGCCCCGCATCCTCGGTGGGCTACGACTGGCGCGGGCCTGGCAACCCGATGGGCCTCCAGTACCTGCCGGCGGTGGAGACGGCCATCGGGGAATGCCAATTATCCACACACACACATACACTCCAGGAGGAGGATCCAGACCTTCAGGCATCGCAAAGAAACAACTGCGTGGTCCTCTGGATGTCGGCGCTCGGGGCACATTTTTAGGCTCTGGCATCAGGGAACGACCCTAGACGGAAAGCCTGCCCCAGGAACGGTGTCGAGTGTCGAGAGTTTTTGGGCCAAAGCCCTGGAACAAAAACACGACGCCAGAGGTCTGTGGAGGCAGGGGGAGATCAGGGATGGATATTCCCATGTGTTCATCCGTTTCAGAGGGTGGTCCTTGATGCCAGGATTGGCCAAGTTTTGAGTCCGGGCCACAACGAGTTCCAGGATTGCAGTAATTACGCATGTCGAACAATACATGTGCTTTCAGGCAGGTGCCCCACGGAAATCCAGATCCTTCAAAGGTCTTTGTGGCACACATAACTCGTTGCGCAGTGTAGGAGGGTGGAGGATTGACTCTAGTGTGCCGCTACATGTCTTGCAGGTGAATTCATTACCGCATGCACTACTCCAGCTTAGGGGGCGATTCTGAGGGGGGGTACTCTGCACAAACCAATCGCCTATGTGCGACGGTGTGCATACAGTGGGATTGCGGCAACACAGAACAGAGCAACACGCAACCCTTCGTACACGTGCGAATCGATTGCTTGTGCGTATGAATTCATGAGCTTTGTTTCAGAGGGCCTTTGATGGGTGGGGACCCCTGCCCAGGATGGGTGGAGACCCCTTCCTGGCTACGCCAGGCGGGCGCATCCACCGACCACGGGCACAGGACCTGCGTATTCAGGATATCCCACCTCTGATTTGGCGAGTCCGACCGTGGCGACGAGACCTCGGACCGAGGCCCCCACAGGGGCAGAGTGCGTCAAAACCCTCCCCTTCGTCCTCCATCATCGCATCTCCCACAGTCCCCCATCATTATTCCAATCGGTTGTCCTGCTGTCAAAACCCTCCCCTTCGTCCTCCATCATCGCATCTCCCACACCCGTCCCCCATCATTATTCCAATCGGTTGTCCTGCTCCCTCCTCCTCTTCATCCTTCTGCCCTCCTCCTCCTCCTCCTCCTCCTTCTCTTCCTACCCTTCCTCCTCCTCTTCCTCCTCTTCATAGTTATCTTCCTCCTCTCCTGGCCTCTCCTCCTCCCCCCTCCTCTCCTCTCCTCTCCGTCCGCCATTCAGCTCCAAAGACCCTTAGAAATCTGTCGAGACTTCCAGCATTCTCCGAATACCTCCTCCTCTTCCTCCTCCTCCTCCTCCTCCTCCTCCTCCTCCTCCCCCTCCTCCCCCCCCTTCTCCTCCTCCCTCTCCTCCTGCACTCGCCATGTAGTAGAGGTGTTTTGAGGGAAGCGGGTCCTTGACCCCCGTTGCTCTCCACAGGAGCATCTCTTCATCATGGGCTGTTTTCGGAACAGTCCGCGACACGTGAAGGGCCCCAGGACCCCTCCCTTCCAGGACCCCTTCCCTCAAAATCTCGTTTCCTTCTCCTCAGCGTACCCCTCCGCCACCTGGAGCAGGAGGAGGAGGAGGAGGAGCAGGAGGAGGAGGGGGGGGAGGAGGAGAAGGAGGAGGAGGAGGAGGAGGGGGAGGAGGAGAAGAGAGAGCAGCAGGAGGAGGAGGAGGAGGAGGAGGAGGAGGAAGAGGAGCATCGGCAGGAGCAGGAGCAGGAGGTATGGCGTCCTTGCCCAGGCCCGGGAGTGCGTGGCGGAGCTCCGGGAGAGGGGCGCGCAGGACAGTTGCCGCGGGGACGGGGGGGAAGCAGGAGGAGAGCGTTCACGACGACGACACGAACGAGGAAGAGAGGGAGGAGGAGGAGGAGGAGGAGGAGGAGGAGGTTTTTTGGAGGAGGAGGAGGAGGAGGAGGACTGGCTTGATTTAGGGCGGATTTAGGTTGAGTCGGTTGAGTCTTTTTAGGTTTTTGATGCCGACGACGATTGTAATGATGGTGGTTATCAAATCGTAGTGCTGATGGTGGTTGCGATGGTGATGGTGATGATGGTGGTGCTCATCACATCCAGAATCACCATCATCACCATCACCATCATCACCATCACAACCGCCCTCACCATACCATCATCACCGTCCCCATCATCATCATCATCATCATCACCACCATCCATACCATCAGCATGTTCCAGTATGTTAGAGCTCCGTGGGAGCTCTATCATGGCTTGTTGGAGCTCCCACGGAGCTCTAACATGGTGGGAGCTCTAACATGCTATGTTAGAGCTCCCAGAGGAGCTCTAACATCAGCAAGTTAGAGTATGTTAGAGTTCGCTCCCTGGGAAGCTCTCACATGGTATGTTAGAGCTCCGTGGGGGCTCTAACATCCCATGTGAGAGCTCCCACGGAGCTCTAACATCGTATGTTAGAGCTCCAATGGAGCTCTAACATAGCTAACATCGTATGTTAGAGCTCCGTGGGAGCTCTAACATGCTACGTTAGAGCTCCCATGGGGGCTCTAACATAGCAAGTTAGAGTATGTTAGAGCTCCCTGGGAGCTAACATACCATGTTAGAGCTTCCGTGTGGGGAGCTATACCCGCTGTGGTTAGAGCTCCCACGGAAGCTCTGGAGCTCGGTATTTAGAGCTCCCAGGGAGCTCCCACTTGAAGCTCTAAACAGCTATGTTAAAGCTCCGTTGGAGCTCGGTAATTTCTAGAGCTCCCAGGGAGCTCTAAATGGGAGCTCTAATATAGGCATGTTAGGCGCTCCCAGGGCAGCTCTAACATACTGAACATGCTATGTTAGAGCTCCCAGGGAGCTCTAACATACTGGAACATGCTATGTTAGAGCTCCGTTGGAGCTCGAACATGCCATGTTAGAGCTCCGTTGAAGCTCTAACATACCATGTTAGAGCTCCCAGGGAGCTCTAACATACTCGAACATTCTATATGAGAGCTCCGTTGGAGCTCTAACAAGCCATGCTAGAGCTTCCACGGAGCTCTAACATACCATGTTAGAGCTCCCAGGGAGCTCTAACATACTGGAACATTCTATGTTAGAGCTCCCAGGGAGCTACCACGGAGCTCTAACACGATATGTTAAAGCTCCGTTGGAGCTCGGTATGTTAGAGCCCCCAGGGAGCTCTAACATGGGAGCTCCAACGTAGCATGTTAGAGCTCCCAGGGAGCTCTAACATACTCGAACATGATATGTTAGAGCCCCCAAGGGAGCTCTAACAAGCCATGTTAGAGCTCCCACGGGGCTCTAACATTCCATGTGAGAGTTCAGAAGGGAGCTCTAACATACCATGTTAGAGCTCCCAGGGAGCTCTAACATACTCGAACATGCTATGTTAGAGCTCCGTTGGAGCTCTGACAAGCCATGTTAGAGCTCCGTGCTAGAGCTCCCACGGAGCTCTATTATACCATGTTAGAGCTCCCAGCTCCCACTGAGCTCTAACATGCTATTTTAAAGCTCCGTGGGGCTGGTAGTTTGAGCTCGGGAGCTCCCACGGGGCTCTAACATGATTTGTTAAAGCTCCGTTGGAGCTCGGTATGTTAGAGCTCCAAGGGAGGGAAAGCATGGGGAGAGGCTCTATTGGGAGATCTCTGTTCGAGCTTTCCCAGGGAGCTCTAACATTACCGAACATGCTGCGGTAAGAGATCCGTTGGAGCTCAAACGCCATATTAGAGCCCCACGGAGCTCTTGAATACCAGGTTTTCGAGCTCCAGGGGAGCTCTAACCTACGGAACATGCATGCTAGAAGCTCCGTGGGGCTCTAACATACATGTAGAGCTCCCACGGAGCTCTAACATACCACGTTAGAGCTCCCAGGGAGCTCTAACATACTCGAACATGCTATGTTAGAGCTCCGTTGGAGCTCTATGAAGCCACGTTAGAGCTCCACTGGAGCTCTAACCTACGATGTTAGAGCCCCCAGGGAGCGCTAACATAATATAACATGCTATGTTACAGCTCCATTGGAGCTCTAACATAGCATGTTAGAGCTCCCTGGGAGCTCTAACATGGTAGCACTTGCCATGTTAGAGCTTCCAGGGGGCTCTCACATGGCATGGTAGAACTCCCTGGGAGCTCCAACATAGCATGTTAGAGCACCCTGGGATCTCTACAATGGTATGCACGTGGCCATTGCTACAAGCTCCCAGGAAGTCAACAAGCGGTTGCCATGTAGAGCCCCCTGGGATGTCGAATGGCGACACGGTTTAATGCCCCCCCCCCCCCCCTGGCGAGAGGGGGGGGGGGGTCTTAACCGTTGCGCAATCGGTTGTGAAAACGGCTAAAGGGCGGCGCTGTCGGGCAAGCCGGCTGGCGGCGCCGTCGGCGGGTTCTAGTGTGAGAGCTTTCCCAGGGAGCTCTAACATATCAAGTTAGAGATGTTAGAGTTCCCTGGAACGCTCCTAACATCGTTACGGTTTAGAGCTCCATGGGAGCTCTAAACATTAGCATGCCATATTATGTAGAGCCGCCCTGGGAGCTCCAACATAGCAAGTTAGAGGAATGTAAGAGCTCCTGGGAGCTCTAACATGGTATGTTAGAGCCCCCAGGGAGCCCTAACATACTCGAACATGCTATGTTAGAGCTCCGCTGGAGCTCTAACAAGCCATATTAGAGCCCCCACGGGGCTCCAACATACCATGTTAGAGCTCTCAGGGAGCTCTAACATACTGGAACATGCTATGTTAGAGCTCCCAGGGGGATCTAACATACTGGAGCATGCTATGTTAGAGCTCCGTTGGAGCTCTAACGAGCGATGTTAGAGCTCCCGCGGAGCTCTAACATGGCATGTTAGAGCTCCCAGGGAGCTCCTACCATACTGGAACATGCTATGTTAGAGCTCCGTTGGAGCTCTAACATACCATGTTAGAGCTCCACGGAGCTCTAACATTACCATGTTAGAGCTCCCAGGGAGATTGAACATTACTGGAACATGCTATGTTAGAGCTCCCTGGGAGCTCTAACATACCGTGTTAGAGCTCCCAGGGAGCTCCCTCTGAGCTCTAACATGATATGTTAAAGCTTCGCTGGAGCCCGGTATTTTAGAGCTCCCAGGGAGCTCTAACATGGGAGCTCGAATCGTGCATGTTAGAGCTCCCAGGGGGCTCTAACATACTCGAACATGCCATGTTAGATCTCCGTTGGATCTTTAACAAGCCATGTTAGAGCTCCCACGGAGCTCTAAGATGCCATGTTAGAGCTCCCAGGGAGCTCTAACATACTGGAACATGCTATGTTAGAGCTCCGCTGGAGCTTTAACATGCCTTGTTAGAGCTCCCACGGAGCTCTAACATACCATGTTAGAGCTCCCAGGGAGCTCGAACATACTCGAACATGCTATGTTAGAGCTCCGTTGGAGCTCTAACAAGCCATGTTAGAGCTCCCACGGAGCTCTAACATACCATGTTCGAGCTCCCAGGGAGCTCGAACATACTGGAACATGCTATGTTAGAGCTCCGTCGGAGCTCTAACATGCCATGTTAGAGCTCCCACGGAGCTCTAACATACCATGTTAGAGCGCCCAGGGAGCTCCCACTGAGCTCTATCATGCTACGTTAAAGCTCCGTTGGAGCTCGGTATGTTAGAGCCCCCTGGGAGCTCTAACATTGGAGCTCGAATATAGCATGTGAACATGTTATGTTAGAGCTCCGTTGGAGCTCTAACAAGCCATGTTAGAGCTCCCACGGAGCTCTAACATACCATGTTAGAGCTCCCTCGGAGCTTTAACATACTGGAACATGCTATGTTAGAGCTGCGTGGGAGCTCTAACATACTCGAAGATGCTATGTTAGAGCTCCGTTGGTGCTCTAACAAGCCATGTTAGAGCCCCCACGCAGCTCTAACATACCATGTTAGAGCTCCCAGGGAGCTCTAACATATTGGAACATGCTATGTTAGAGCTCCGTGGGAGCTCTAACATGCCATGCTAGAGCTCCGTTGGAGCTCTAACGTACCATGTTAGAGCTCCCAGGGAGCTCCCACGGAGCTCTAACATGACAGATTAAAGGCTCCTTTGGAGCTCGGTATGTTAGAGCTCCCAGGGAGCTCTAACATGGGAGCTCTAACGTAGCACGTTAGATCTCCCAGTGAGCTCTAACATACTGGAACATGCTATGTTAGAGCTCCGTTGGAGCTCTAACATACTGGAACATGCTATGTTAGAGCTCCGTTGGAGCTCTAAGATACCATGTTAAAGCTCCCACGGAGCTCTAACATACCATGTTAGAGCTTCCATGGAGCTCTGACATGCTCGAACATGCTATGTTAGAGCTCCGTTGGAGCTCTAACAAGCCATGTTAGAGCTCCGCTGGATCTCTAACAAGCCGTGTTAGAGCTCCCAGGGAGCTCCCACTGAGCTCTAACATGCTATGTTAAAGCTCCGTTGGAGCTCGGTATTTTAAAGCTCCCAGGGAGCTCTAACATGGGAGCTCTAATATAGCATGTTAGAGCTCCCGGGGAGCCCTAACATACTCTAACATGCTATGTTAGAGCTCCGTTGAAGCTCTAACAAGCCATGTTAGAGCTCCCACGGGCCTCTAACATACCATGTTCGAGCTCCCAGAGAGCTCTAACATACTCGAACATGCTATGTTACAGATCCGTTGGGGCTCTAACAAGCCATGTTAGAGCTCCCACGGAGCTCTAACATACTATGTTAGAGCTCCCAGGGAGCTCCCACTGAGCTCTAACATTCTATGTTAAAGCTCCGTTGGAGCTCGGTATTTTAGAGCTCCCAGGGAGCTCTCACATGGGAGCTCTAGTATAGGATGT